GGAGGGGGGAGGGCGCTCCGATATGAGGAAGTTCGGCTTAAAGACACGTCCCAGGGGCGTTCCTGGTACCAAAAGGCATTTCTGGTCCCCACCTGTCGTTTTGCTCCTCAGCATGGCTTCATAAAAACACTGCAGGATTTCTCAAACATGCACGAATGAGTCAAAACAAGGCTTTGGGCATGTTTTTTATGAGAGTTTAACATTATAACATGACGTAAAACTCAAAAAAGTTGATTTTACATGATATTGCCCCTTTGAGAGATAATCAGTTGTAAATCATTTGTTAAAAGTAGAAATGTTACTTATTTGTCCTTTACTGGAGTAACTATTTATCAGATGACTTCTTATGGCAAAACTATCCTACAGTTATGATAAGTAGCTATTTCATGGATGGACAGATGCAGATACAAACACATCACATAGAGATGATCAACTTACTCCTTACATTTTATTATCTACACTTTCTATTCCTTACATTTAAATTGATCCAGATATATAGCCCCTCCTGGATGAATTTAATTGGGAATAAATATATACCATTGTTTGTTTGTGGTCCATCACAACTGTATGACATGAATCACTTCACACTCCAGCAGGACGTAAGTTGAGTTATGAGATATATTTGTAGCTTAAGCATGTAGACTAGTGTTTCTCAAAAATTTTCATCAACATTTTAATGTAACAGTCATCATGTACGGAACCTATTTGGTGACATTCTATTAAAAAAACATGCACGTCAACCCCTTCAGACGTTTATCTATATAATGAGCCTCAAAATCCATATTTTTTTGCAAAAAAAATTGTATTAATCACATTGGGGTGTTTGCAGATGGGCTATCAGCCGCAGAGAGCAGGGGGCGGGTGCAAGAGGACTGTCAGTTGCAGCAATATCTGGAGAAAATGAGAACAGACAAACTTATTTCTAGCAGCAGAGCGGGTTGGATGTGGATATTTGATGTTATTAATTGTTTTTTTAACGTCCTACAGGCTCTGAAATGTATGTAATTTTAGTTTAGTATGTGTTAAGTAATTAATCATCTTCGTCATTATAAGATTGTCTTAAAATATATGATTTCTTGAAATGGTGATTATACAAATATAATAAATATCTTATCGCTGCAGATGGATGCAGATATACACACAGCCACATCACACAGAGATGATCAACAATCAGCAGGTCTGTTGGTGTTTCTGTAATTATGACAATAAAAACGTCTGTGTTATGGCAATATTTATTTAACCAAGACAGAAATACGTGGTCCAAGAATGAAGGTACTCCGTGAGATGATCAGCTGAGTTTTATTGCAACAACAGGAAACACAGAGAACAACCTGCCATGTCTCTGTGCCTCTGCTTCTCTCTGTCACTGTCTCT